ACACACACACACACACACACACACACACACACACACAGACGCACATAAGCACACACTCGCACACGCACAGACAATGTCCACCACACATAGACGGCATGACTGTCTAACTTCATGCCTGACTGCTCACTCGACAAGTATACGCTAGGCGAATGGACATCAATGACACTGAAAGCACACAAATGAAAGGGCAAATGCTCTGGGCGTGGCACTGCAAAAACGACAGGATGTACATGGTCGCCAAGACTGTGACTGTGTCAGACGTCGGAACATCTCTCTACTCCTCCTCCCCTCCGCTACAATCCTCAGAATCATCCCCCCTCGTCTCACTACGCCTCTCTCTTGCGTAATCACTACCGGAAGAATCGTCACCACTCTCTGGATCATCGTCAAGGACACGAGTCTCTCTCCCACCTGAACCCAACGAATGCGCCCTCGTACGTACACCCACTGCGGGTGAACCCCCTGCTGCGGTCCCATCCACTGCACCTCCTTGACTGGTGTCCTTTGCACCCAACTGCCTCATCACCCAAGATTCTCATCCTGAGGCATGTGGGCGACCTCTCCCTCGGCCTAGGCCTGGTGGTCGTCCTCGACCTCTCCCTGTGCCACGCCCCACTTGACCTGCACGTGCACGCTCGTGTCCGTCATCCTCCTCCCTCCTCCTCTTCCTACCTGCACGACTCGTCGTGACGTTATCAACAATAGCAGAGGAGAGTCGTGTCGGGAGCGGAGGCATGCCCAACGGACTTCGCGCAGACATAATATCCCTGGCCGTCGTAGAGGTGGAAGGGCCAGACACATGAAGAGGAAGGCGTGGTAGAGCGGATGTAAGTGGAGGCGGGGTGCTACCCCTAGATGACAAAGGGGTAGTATGTGCAGAACTTAGTGTAGGACCGTGTCTGGCAGGGTGTCCACCACGTACGCGGGGTGTCGTAGACCTCCTCGAGTGAATCTCTGGCGTCGTCGCTGTCGATGGTGGCGGTGTTGTCCGCAATGGTAGTGGCGGGATCCCGTAGAAAGTGCGTCGTGTGAGAACATCATGTGAAGACGGAGACGTGTCTCGTGGAGGCAATGGCGGAATGCCCGTATCAGCAAGTTGTGCCCTGTCGCCTCCGTCTCCACGAATCCTATCCAAACCAGGTCGATCTCTAGCAGCACCGTCCGTGTGCAACCTCTGCTCTGTACGCCCGCATGTCACAACATCGCGGATGACGCTCTCGCAAGAGTGGCAATCACCCGGCCGCCCACGAGTACTCTCCTCCATCCTTCCAACCCCGGCCTGATCCAAGGTCACGTCAACTGTAACCTCTACCACGTCCCTCATCCTCTGATCCACCCGCTGCTCCACCCTCTCATCAACCCTCCGCTCCACCCTTTGCTCCGCTTTTTGCTCAACCCTTGGCTGCACCCTGCACTCCGATCTGTCGTCTGCTGTACTGTGCACCGTCCGCTCCGCCGTCTGCTCCACCCGCTGCTGAAGTGTCGGTCAATGTTGCAGCTCCAGGGACTCGTGTTGTAAGGTCAACGGTGCTATGGGTTCCACCCTCTCCTACACGCGCAGCTCATATAACTGCACCACTGTACGTGGAGCTGTGTCGGCATGTCGACGGAGTGTGCCATGCAACCCAATCGACTGAGAGACGATTTGAGAGGCGTGCTCTGCCTCTGCAACCTGGTATGCCACCTGCTCCACAACAACCTACTGTGGCAACTGCTCCGCCCTATGCTCATCCTTCTCATGTCGCGGAACCTAAGGATGCTGACCCGCCCTCCCCTCCCTTTCTGCCTGCGTTTGTGTATCCACCGCGTGGTCCATGGGGGCCTGGGACGTGTGTGTCTCTGTGGCGATAGAAGAGGGGTCACCAACACTAGCACTTGCTGCTGTGAGACTCATCGAAACTGAAACCTCCTCCTTCCGTGGCGGATCCTGCATTGCCATGTCCTCCTCTGCCTGCATATCATGGGCCAGCAACTCCTCCATATCAACCTCACCGCCAACCCTCTTGCGCATGGACACCACAGTCTGCATGGTCCCACCAATGTATGCGTCGAAGTCGTCGTGCGGATCCTGTCCACCCCACTCGTCCAGCAATTCGTGCTGGTCCTCTGGAAGAGTCATCCCAGCACCCCTCTGTGCCTCTGCGTCCTTCCTAATCCCCTGGTGCATCCACACGAGGTCATCAAAAATGTCCTCCTCCTCGTTCTCCGAGTCTACTGGTGGTGCATTGCCCTTCCCAGCTCGATTGCGACCCTCCTTCCTCCTGTTGCTCCTCTCAATCGCCTCGTACTCCTCCTCCGCCACATCTGCAGGGATGACGTCATCCACGTCCAAAGCGACCTCCTCATCCTCAACCTGGTCCGCCCAAATGTCCACGTACCTGCTCTGCGACCGCTTGCTCGTACTGAGGAGCTGCAAGTTCCAATGGATAAACACTAGCTTCTCAACGCTACGTGCCGTCAAGGGGTTTCTCAATTTCGTGTGAATGAAGTCGTGCGTGGCCCAGTTCCTCTCACAAGGACTGGCGGTGGACCACATGCCCATCACAGCCCGCGCAATGCCCTGCAAAACGGGCTGCTGACCACCGTGAAGCCTCCACCACGTCGACGGATGCATCTTGTTCGCGTCGGTGGTAGCGAACGAGTCCCACCAGTGTTGACCATCCTCTGACCAATATCGCGGGTCGTCATTGTGGAAAGTCCACAGGGCCTCCCACAGACTAAGCATGGCATCGTTGTCCCACCCTCCGACAACGCGAGCGAAGTGCTCAAGCGCAGACTGCACAACACGCCTGCTGCGGTCCTCAAGCAATGAAATATCGCGCCGTCGTGGAACCAGTAGGTAAGCAGCTGCATGAGCAGGCTGTCGCATCATCGCGCACCTATCCCTCACGATGTCCATCACCGCGTCCCTGTCAATGTCCGACAACTCCAGTGAACGAAGTCACCCCCGTAGGATGGCCTCCAAATCCCACAGGCCAGTGAGCGATGAACCGTCCCTATCAACATCCCTGAGGAACCCGTAAACGGAACCCATGACGTCCATGACCCTCTTCATGCCACTCCAAAACCCGTCATCCCTGCAAAGCCTGCGGACATGAGGCATCCACTCTCGAGCATCCTCGGCCCATCGCACCCTAGCCCACCTCTCCGACGACACTAACGTGTCCAAGACCTCCCTCTGGTCGTACAGCCTCTCCAGCATCAGGTACGTTGTACCAAAACGCGTCTTCGTTGGTCGCCTGAGCACCAGCGCCTTCTTCATTATCTTGTGAAGTGCAAGTGTTTTTTGTTTGTTGCAAATAAACTTCACAATCTTTTGCGCGTCTCTCATCGTCTGTCGCGCAAAAGGCTGTGCGGCAATATCCCTCAGCAGCAAACTCAGGCAATGTGCTGCACACGGGATCCAGGGAATGACACACATAGCAGGATCTGGGTGTGTCTGCAACGTGTGTGCTGCGGTTTTCATGACCTCGGCGTTGTCAGTGCAAATCGCATTGACATTCTTGATGCCAATGTCATGTCGTATAACGTCCTCCCAGATCTCCGCTAAGCTGATGCCGGTCTTGTCGCGATGAGACATGTCGATCATTCGGATGAGGATGGGTCCGGACTCCCCTGCTGCGATGAAGTTCATAATGGGCTTGTTTGTCGTGTCAGTAGCCCCGTCTGTCCTCAACGTGCAGCCGGAAGTAGCCCACTTTGCCTTCTTAGGGGCAATGAGGGCGGCGACCTCATGGTAGATGATATCTAACATCCTCGTTTTCACCCCCTCATACGAGAGGAGTCATGAAACTGGTACTATCGTGGGACGGAATAAAGTGCATATGTAATCCCACAACTGCTGCATCTCAGCCAAACGCAACCAGTTGAACGTCACTCCGCCACGATAGATAGCGAGGGCCCACAACCGATCAAGATCCATTTGGATCTTGTTCCCTATATGGGGATCCAAAGTTGACTGTCGCCTCGCCACTAGGGATGTGGAGGCCGGTGCTCCACTAGCACTAGATCCGCCTGCCTCACTACCGCCACCCACACCTCCTACACCTCATCCTACACGGCGTATTGAACCGATAACTTCATACTTGCAAAACATGCATTCTACCACTTGAACTACGCCCCCGACGGAACGGAGGAAATGGGATTAGAACCCATAATACAATCTTGTTGTATGTTGATTTAGCAAACCAATGCCTTCAGCCATTCATCCATACCTCCCGGGAAAAACGGGATTTGAACCCGCGACTTCTGGCGTGGAGACCAGCACTGACTTTACCACTTTTCTTCCTTCTGGCATATATATATATGGATTTTCGATTCCAATCCGGTTGGTTGGTTCGGCCGAGCATATGGTCGCTTTATTTGGATGATACTATACATAATACCATGATCGACTGTGTCGAAGAATTGTGTCCTTGACCTTGGGCTGTGTGTGCACTTGCTTGGGTCTAGACGAGAGAATTGAGATTCGTGGTTCACTTCTTGATTCTATCCTGGCACTCACTCCGCTCGCCAGAGCAGACGCTTCACGTTTGCTCTATCGCCAGAGTCGCCTGGTTTAGGGCGCCCTAAAAACCCGCAGGCTGAGTACCGCCTCGTGCCCTGCCTCCACGCTGGCGGTCTGCATCCAAATCGTCGGCTAGTCTGATCGTCGCCCCACCTGCATCACCACCATCCACCCCTCCAGCACGCGAGGGTGTCCTGAGCGGTGTTTGGTCTGCCTCTCCATCCCCCTCCGCCTCCATGTGATGACGAAAGTCGTCCGCAACCACATCACCCTCCACCCTCTCCGCATACTCCGAAGCCAGGCGCTGCGAGAGGGCATCTCTAAGGACTACCCCCACCCTTTGCAACTTGTACAAAATCTCTCCGGTCCGGCGTGGGCAGTACGTCTTCTGCTTTGTGAAATGCTCAACTCGACGAGACATGGATCCCCTGAAAACCTTCTGGCATAGGCGGCAACGGATAAGGAAGTTGCCCCCGCCTTCCTTCCCCCACTC